GGCTGTCAGTGCTGAAGTCTGCACTGTTTGTTTGTAATTAACACTCCCATATATGTTATAATTTGGTATGTTCATCTAAATGAGAAGTGACATAATAAACTAGAACAAAAAGAGTGACTTAAGGAAGAAAATGTTGTTGACAGCCATCTGTTGGTATGTTAGCAAGCATGATGACCAGAGTATAGATTTGAAAACTTTACTGTGTTTCTTAAGGGGGAGGGGAATTGATCTCCTTTTTGCAATGACTCCAACAGATTCCAGTTCTCATTGAGCAGTATTTAATGATAATTTTGCTGTATCTGCTTTGGCATGCATTAGGACGGGTGCAGGTTTGCAATTTCAAGGCTACATGTGCTGGTGATGGTGAGATTGCTGAAGCACTGATTTACCAACTGGTGCTGCCTGGAGAAGTGTGTGTGTGTGTTTCTACAAAACTGTGGGAAACTTTGTTTTATGTTCTATTAATGTACGTAAGGCAGCCATTTCTGATGATGTATAAGTTACAATAAGGAGCAAGCATAAGAATGTTTTTGCTTTTCTACTGTTGTGAGCCAGAGCAAAGTTGGTAAGAAATGAATGGTGTCTGTGACAGAGAAAGGGCTTGGGTCTAAGGAAAAAAGAAATATATTTGGATTGTTCTTTTTTTGTGTGCTTTAAATTACATCTGCATTTGTTTTCCTTCAGATAACCCCTAGTGAAAGTCATGGATTGTTATATATGTTACTTTTCTGCTTGTCACTTTTTTAATGAGTTGACTAATTTATGAAAAGCAAATGCATTTAGCATTCTGCCCTGTCAACTGACTGCTTTCTAGAAATAAAATGAAGCAAACGAACAGAATTGCAGAATATAATGACAAAACCACTAAAAGATCAGGTTTTCGGAAGGAAGATCTGACCAGTGGCTTTTCAGGGATATTCTGCTGCCAGAAACTGTATCCTGATTCATCAGCTCAGAAAAAGAACTTAGTTTTGAAAATTAGAGGGAAAAAATTAGGAAAAATTCCTTCCTTTCTTCCTTCCTCCTCTTAGAAAAGTTCAGTTCAGAACAACAAATACAGTTTTGCAGAAAATCTTCCAGCCTTGACTGCGTTTCAGCAGTGAAGGTTTTGCAGCTGCTTCTTGTTGCATCTCACATCACAGTTTATGAGCAATCCTTTAAATTATAGAGATTAAAACCTCAAACGCAATACCTATATTAATACTGGTATTGCATTCCTCCCCTCTTTATAGAGGGGCTCATAAACACAGTTACTTTCTTGTGATTTTTCCTACTGAGTTTGGCATCTGCTTTTTAAGTTCTGAATATAGTATAGTGCCTTTACTAAGGGGTAGAAGGACTGGGTATGGTGGGACTCTAAATGGAGTTCAGAGGAGAGACGAATCTGCAATGTGTTTTGGATTTTAGGTTCAATGAAGTTTTAGGGATTTATTGGCTGAGGGTTTGGGTCTCTGTTGTGTGGTTATACACACAGGACAGCTGAACTTGCCTCAAAAATTCCTGCTTTGCATGGAATATACTTCTATAATGCTAGTTATTGAGATTATAGTGTTTTCATTGATGATTGGTCTTTAGAAGTGACATACCAACTGTACGTACTGAAGAAACCTGAAATACTCTAGCTTTACCTTGAATAATGGGTTTTCCCAGGTATTAGTAATTATGGAAGGTTTCTGTTATATTGCTTTTGGCTGTTTTTAATGGGTGAAATACTTGGAAAGGGAATGAATAAAAGGAGAATTTAAGGAATGAATAGTTTTTGCTGGGCATGTCACTCACAGAGAAGAGCAGACTAATCCATTTTCCTAATAAGGCTGCGCTGGAAGTTGGAATGTTTTGAATCGCATTAAATGTCATAAAAGTATTCATCGGTGAGGAACGACTTGTGGTATGTTTAGAGAGCAAATTTGATTATGTTTGGTCGAAATGAACTGTTTACACAGGCTAAATATAGCTTTTTTCTGAAAGAACAAATGGCTTGGATGGAGAAGCCTGTGCACGAACTTCATGGGCTTTCATTTTCAGTATTAGGCTGTCAGTAAATGATGGAAGTTGCTTCTGTTTTTGTTATCTATAGTAATTCATAAGAAGCTCCAGACGGTAACTGTTTGCCAAGGTCTTTTGTATGCACTGTTTATAAGCATTTATACCAAGCTTTTATGTCTTTGCTTGTTTGTATGTTATTGAAAATATTGCATAAACTGAGATACTGAACTGCTAGTTTTAAATCATTCAGAAAATATAGAAAATATCCTGCTTCAAGCCACCCTTCTTTCTAGTAAGTAGTTAACAGGGCAAGTGTGTCATCTCATTTGGAAAGCCTTTATCATCAGCTATTTGTACATTCAGCGTGACCAAACCAGCGTGAAATCCTAATGCGTTTAATTGCTAGGTGGCAAGTGAAGTGCTAACAGCTAAGAAAATATACAAGATTCTGCAGTTTAATTATCTTTTTCCTAAGCAATTTGGGAGTTATCTATCAAAATCCTGCGGGGAAATAGCCCTGAAGGAAGTGTTTTCTTAAATGGATGTGTAGGACGTGTTTTGTTTTCAGCCTGAAGTGTGCATTTCCTTTTGCGCTGTCTTGTCTAACCACCACGCATTTTTCACATTCAGATCTTGGTGTCTGTTTGCTGTGTTAGCGCTTTCTTTCTACAATGTGGGATAAATAACAGAATTTAGACCGATTATGGATTGAAGTGAACAAGGCCAACTCAAACTGTTTTGAAGTATGTCTGGGACACACAAATTTATGCCCTTTTTTCAAGTGTGTTCGAGGAAATAAAGTAATGTGCTCTCTGACTCCAGTGTTAAAAGAACATTGGGAACACTTCAGTTATCAAGCCTTTTTTTCACCCTGTTTTTAAAATTTTTCTTCTTTTTGTGTGATGTTTTTGAAGATGAATTTTGAAGAGTATGTCCTCAGATCATCTGGAAATAGTGGTTTGAAATAACTTCTTCTCAGTATTGTCTTGCTGAATGCAGAGCAAACTCATCTATTGCAGACTCAGATTTGATTATCTTGTAATAAAAAAGAAAAAAAAAAAAAGAAAAGAAGAAAAGTATGTTCCTTTTATGCAGCTAGAACTTCAAGGTCCAGCACTAGAAAGGAGATAATTTTTTGCTTAAGCCTGAAATCTGTAGTTGACTTGAATAATGAATGTCTTTCTACTTCTTACTGTTAGATCAGCCTAATAAATATACAAAGCATTCCAAATTACTTCATTAAAAAATGTGTATCTAAAATATGGAGCGAGATGCATGTTTCTATCTAACTTTGGTTTTAAAAACCGAAAAGTTTCCATATGTGTTGGCATTTTTTTCCCCTTCTTGTTGCCTTTGTTGCTGCAAATTGACAAGTCTGCAATTAGGAGTGATTAATGGTGCACCCCAGCGCTTTGGAGGGCTGGAGGTCACCTTCTCACAGGCTGCACGCTCGGTGGGAAAGGAGGGAGCAGACCTGGTCCTCGGAGCGGACAAAAGCCGCTCTCATTGATGTGGACATAATGTGTGACAGCAGTGGTGCACAAATGGGGAAGGCGAAGTGCAGAAGATGATCTTTTATTGGGATATTTTTCCTTGGTTGTATTTATCTCCCTTTTTGTAAGTTAGTTACTGAACCCGCGGCAGGGTTGGTGTTGCCAGAGTCTGATGAGCCATAAGGGTCAAATGGCTTTGAGGGAAGGAGGACACATTTGGAATGTAATTAGTAAAATGAAAAAAAGAAAGAAGAAAAAACGAAAAAGAAGTCGGGGTAAAACAAAAGGAAAATAAAGAAGAGAGGAGTTGTTAAATGGACCGAATCTGCCTAATTCAAATCTAGCTCTCCATGCTTTTCCTGGTAGAAATAGAAAAGCTGGTATATACAATAGAGATGTTTTAAGTTGTAGCCTTTGTTAGCTCATCTCTAATTAAATGAGATTTTTTTTTTTCCCCTCCCTGACAAATTATCTTGTGGAAGTGAGAATGCAGCTTCAGTTCTTCAAAACCCTGTTTAGAAGATTTGTCGGAAGTTGGGGTTGTGTGATATGAGACAGGATGTGATTGCTGGGTCTGGGATCATGAAGGGTGCCAGCTTTTCTGAGCAGCTACCAAATATGGCCAGAAATGTTTTGAAATGTGACAGGAAGCCACCTTTTCTGCCGAAAGAGCATGAAAAGATGCAAGTGTGTCAGCAGCAGTGTTTGCAGACATGTTAGTGTGTCAGACTTTTTGCTGTTTTGTTTGGGTTTTTTAATATTGTGTGTGCGTGCGTGTGTATTTTTGCATATAAGTATATCCAGATCTGAAAAAAAACCAGTCAAGTGAGATGCCTTTACCTGTAACATGTTGCCAGTTCACTTGAGATATAATAAAATCTGTCAATTCTTTATTTTCTTCATCCTTTCCATTCTGATACTTCCTTCCCTTCCCACCACCCAATAATAATTTCAATGCATCCATTGTTCAGAAGTTTTTTTTGCCATCTAACATGGACTTAAGTGACATTAACCTTACCTTTGAAGACCCAAGGCTGTGCAGAAAGTTTCTGTATTATTTAACTTGCTAAGTGCTTCAGAAGGATTTTGGTGGTGGTTGTTCTAAGATAAAGCTTACTGTTTCAAGCCTGAATAAAGGTTATGTGCTATTTAAAATGCAATTTGTCTGATCAGAGCTTTTGATTTATGTGACATAGTTTCTCATGAAAGGATGGAAAACATTAAGCAAATTGGAGCTGAGATCTCCTAACTAGTGAATATGGTATTATGAATTTATAAATCAAATAGTACTTAGAGTTCCTAACATAGTATCTGGATAAATTAACCCAGTTTGGTTCTGCCTTTTCCTTGTATTAACAACAATGTTGTAGTTTTAATCTCAATACTTATTGTTTTCTCTAGAGGAAACAAAATGAAATATTTTATATATCTGTGGATAGACATGATGAGTTGAAAGAGGGAAATGCTTAAGCATTAAACAACCTGATTTTTACAATTATGTGTATGTTTTTCCTCTTCCAGAGTGGCTTCTGTACAAAAACCTGATCTCATTCATGTACCAAAGGTATGTTCATCATCACAACGAAGAAGTGTAGCATGTGGCACTAACTGTTACCCATCTGTCAAACCCTGCTGTTGATAAGCACTGTCATTCAGACTTTCCTTTCAGTATAACGTGCTTGATTGCCATGTGTTGCATTAAGATCATTGCAGCATTTGAATCTTGGAGTGATAATTTTTTTTCCATAAAAAAGAATAGCAAGACCTGGCAAATTATTATTTTTATAAAAAAGTTCATCTTCCAACTCTTCAGAACATTTTCTAGAAAGATATTGCTGGAGTTTTTCCTCTGTCCCTAATGAGAGAAACAATAGTAGCGTTTTTTCATGGTGATTTTTTGTTTGTTTTGTTTGTTTTAATGGGCACTGAAATCTTCCATTGTATTTGACAGAAGCTTATCTAAATATTAGAGTTTCAGAGAACAATTCCCCCTCACTTTCCTTAAAGCCCTGAGGAATTATTTGTGCTTGAGTTCTCTATTGCTTTCTTCTCAAGCAATAGTTTCTTCTTTTTGATAAGGCTGTTTGCAATCCTGAAAATGCTTACAAGTAGCCTATAGTTGAAAAGCCTCTTCAGTGGACATAAATAATGTATAGCATATTATTGTTCTGCTGACCGTGATTTGAAATGCCACGGTTTAGGAACCACCATGTTAAAATGCATCTCCTAGAAAAAAAAAAAACAACACTTTTTTTTAAGTGTTTTGATCTGACAAGGATATGTGAAGATGCTGGGGCACATTAATGGAGTGCAACTGGAAAAGCTCACTCAGTCTTGAAGCACTGGCTCTAAATGAGCTCCAGGGCTCTGGTTCTGTTCCTAAGAGCTGTATTGACAGATCAATACATCCAGAGTGTGTGTAACACACACTTGCCGTTTGTGTATGGGGAACGTGTGCATCTCAAATTGGGTTTGAGAGGTGGAATGTGGATTTTTGTAAAAAACACTGATTTTTTCCGCACGAGTTACCTGGTGGGATTTGCAATAGAGTGGTTCTTCAGTTTGTCTTGAATTTGATTTGTGGGGTGTCTGTTTTGGATATGATGAGAGGAGTGAGCATCGTGGGATTTTATATTGATCGTGCATGCTTGGATCATTCTCTTTCCTAAAATGCATGGCTTGCTTTTTCCCCATACACTTCATGGCTGCAGTCTTGGTAAAGCTTGCTTCTGTGCTTCGTTGTTTCATGCTGGGCAGGTTATCTCCCCTGAGAGCAGCGAAAATCTTTGCTGAGGAATGTGCATGTGTGTGGTGTGTTTTTGTGTGTTTCTTTTTTTGTTTTTCATCTCGCATAGGGAGAGCCTACAGACGTAGTTAAGCCTGTGCCCATTGCCTCTGCTGTCGCACCCAAAGCCACTGCCACGGCCAGTGTGGCTTACAATAAGACTCCGAGGCCGTTTGGAGCCGTAACCACCTCCAAAGTCACCTCCATCCCATCACCGTCCTCCGCCTTCACCCCGGCCCAGGTGGCGGCTCCGTCCCTGGCGGCTGCCGCCCCGGCCCCTTTTGTTGCTCCCGGACTGCATGTTAACGCCAAGCCTAATGCTGAGCAGCGTCTGCCTGTGCCGAGCGCTGCTAAACCTGCAGTTAATGTCCCACGGCAGCACAATGCCGCCCTGAGCGCCACTGCCGGCGACGGCACCCAGGATGCAGCCGAGGGGCCGCGACGAGGATTCAGAGAAAACCAGGGGGAGAGTAAACAGCAAAATGGGTAGGTGGGATTTCTTTTTTTGCTGTGAGGGTCTTTCCTCGCAGGAAAAAAGCTGGGCTTGTTTAAGGGCTGAGTCGAACACAGCTTGGAGAAGTCGTTCAGTCGTCGGAAGCAAATCACTGAGGAAGTGCTTGCATCTTAAAAGGGATGCTTCAAAGGACCAAGCCAGACTTTCTCAGGAGTGACTTATCAGTTTAGTGTGTCACAGCTAAATTGAATCGGAACCACAAAATGCTTTACATGATGGTTTGTATCATGATGTGTTCTGGACCTTACAACAAGCCCGGTATTAATTTCATTGTCCGTGTCTCACTGTGTATTTTGACTCCCAGTACCAAGCAGCAGGCACTCCAAATTGCAGAGCAGGCTGTCAAGAAGGGCCAGCGGGTGTTGCAGTGGCTGGGAATGTGGTGCTCTGAAAGACGAACTGTAGCCCTGGCAGGACCTGTAATGAAGGGTCCTGGAAGGATGGCAGAGGTACAGATGTTGCATTACTTCTCTGTACAATACACAGGAAGCTTCAAGACGTGTGCAAGGAAGCTGGCAGAGTTGAGCAGATTTTTTTTTTTTTGCAGCGTTTTAATGTCAATCCCTCAACTGAAATATTACCTTCATCCTAAGAAGGCAACACAGATTTAAAATTTGAGTAATTTTTGTGTTCAAGTAATTGTTTATGTTAAAGTAGATATCTGAAGCATAACATTTAAGGGATCTGGTGTAGCTTCTAGAGTAGGAAACTAAACTGAGCCCAGCAGCAATCCTGGGCACTCAGATGTGCACTGCTGCCGCATTTCGGTGGCACACTTTTTTGGCTGGGACCACCTCAGGCTCTTCTAGAAATTCCTGGGCAGGGCTTGGGAGCTGCAGCGCCCCAGGGACGGGTTCCCAGCGGCTGCTGTGCAGTGGGGAGAGGAGGAGGCTGGGCATCAGCGGTCCTGTGCCAGTTGGCCTCCGTGCCCACCAGGAGTGTCCGGTGGATTGAATTAAGTAATAAAAAGGGTAGGAGGGGAACTGTAAGTTTCTCTTCAATTCTCAAGAACCTAGAACTTGTGCTTAAAAGCAGCTGTTACTGTTTCCCATCCCTTAAAGTAAAGGGGCTGGAAATTATGTATATATAGTATATAAAGTGTATGAAGAAACCTATAGAAAGGTAAGCATCCATGTCAGCTAAAATTCAAAATAAATTGCAGTTTCAGTTGAGCTTCTCATGGGGAAAAAAAAATTTCTTCAGGTACTTACTCTCTTTATAGTGGACTACGAATATTTTCCATATGTGGACTCGTATAATGCAGTCTCTCTGCATTTTATGTCACAGCGTTGTCACGGTAACTCCCAGCACTTTCTTAAACAGATGGTGGCAGGAGTCCACGCTGCCTAGAAGAGGGATGAAATTGGGAGATCCCAAGGACTTGCTCGATGCGGGTAGACTTGTTGAACACACTTTGGCAGACTGTCTCTATCTTTTCAGGGATGCTGTTTTAGCAAATAACTATGTAAGGAATAGTGAAAAGCAGCAAATTAGGACTGAAAAAGAGAACCAATAGCAACAAAATTAAGTCTCTTAGAAGGAAGTGCTGCAGGCATAGAGTAAGCACTTGGCAAGTCAAGATAGGATGACTGGATGAGCCCTGCCTTATGGTTAGGGGATGAATAATACTGACTGATGAATAATACTGACTAAAGAGTATCTCAGCTAACAGGTGAAGAATCCCTTTCTCACTGCCAGCCTTGCAGATTGAGTTTGGGAAAGCTTGAAAACATTTAAAGCTGTAAAAACCCACTTTATTTTACCATCTTTCTTACAATTGTGTGTCTGGGCTGTCCAACTGTCTTGCAATCTTAAGGCAGAAAACAAAGACAAGCAATAAAAAAAACCCTAAAGTAATTATATTGGTCTGCCACTACACTACTTGCTTAGTTTGACTTAGAAAAATTACATTTCTACAATGATGTTCAACTATCTCCCCAGTTAAAATGGAATCGGTGACATTTATGAAATATCAGAAGCATTGAAGTTTGGAACATTTGATCAGTCTGACATAAATTTCATTTTACTTCTGTGCTTTGTATTACTCATTTTTTTCAAAAAAATAAAAAAAGGCGACTTGTGTCTTGTTCATGGATAGCACTGCTGATTAAATGCAGTGCTTCAGACACGTGCCTTATACTCAGAATTTCCTCCCTTGCTCGAGCCACATTCAGAATATAAACTAATTGCCTTCACTTCAGGATGGGGAAAGTTTTGTTTCCTTTGGTTAGTTCTGGCTTAGAAAGCAATTTGCCTTTACTGGGCTGTATGCAGTTTGTTCTTATCAAGACCTTCTTGCCAACTCTTGCATGAAAACGTGCCTGCTGCTTAAAACAGGTAAGATGTCCACAGACTTCACTCAGTTTTAGCTGAGCTGGGCTAAATTTTTCCCTTGTAGGTTCTCTTGATGGCTTTAAGTTTGACTTACATGGTATATGGCTTTACCAGAGCTTGGATCTGGAAACTCCTGTAATATTTCAAGAAACAAAGACTGTATTAACACATTGAATACTTTTTTTCCCTTGCAGATAACAACAATGACAAAGTTAGTATCCACAGCACTGGAGTTGAATTATGGTTTTTTTTCCTGTTGGAATAACCAGCATGTATTCTTGTTTTGCAAAATTATAGCTCTTAAAGTTTTATATTTAAATTTTGCAAAACAGCTTCAGCTTTTCTTAGTAACTTCTTATTGTATTAAATGGTTTTGTCTGCACTGGACATGATGTGATATTGCTTTTCATTGTTTTAAATTTTGCAGCTTTTTTTAATTACACAAAACATTATTGTGTTGTTTGCGTGTATTGATAAATTCTTGGTGCAACTATAGCTAACTGGTGTAATACAAGTAGTGAATGGTGAAATACAGTATAAAAGAAAAAAAATTGTTTAAGGACTATGGAATAAAGGGGCAGATACTGAATTCATACCACATAAAAAGAGAGTAACATCCATATACTGTGTTTTTTACATGTTAGAGATGATGAGTATGATTTTTATTGGCTTATCTTCTCTCCCCTTGCCTCAAGGCTGAGTTAAGGCAGAGCCTGTCGTGTTGGATTTTCCTTTGTCTCTGGCACCACCTTGTTGCCTCAATGAGTCATTACCAGTGGACTATTAAGCCCTAAAAGAGGGACCAGTAGGATCCACAAGAGAAGTCAGCAGGATATTTTGTTTATAATACCACTTTCAACAAATGTGAAAAACTACTTATTCCACTGTGGTAGTTTCTAGGATGCAGTCAACTTCACATAGATAATTACATTTCCATGTAGTTTTATTCCTTTACTCTTTAATTTTCATATTTTATTTTTGCTATTAACTGTTTGATGCTTTACTTCATTTTAATCTGTACTTATATTCCATCCTGGAAATAGCACTGTCTTGATTTCTATACCTCTTCTTTTTTTCATAACCTTTATAGGTACAAATACTTCACTAATACTGTGTGTCTGTAAATTCAATACTTTGATATAATTTTGTATGCTAACTTTCATATCTTTCTTTCAAGTATTAAGTATTCTACTAAGCTTAAGTATTTACTGATGCATTTCATTGAATGAGTCTAATTCTTACTTGTTGACAATTAATAATTTACCTCATTCATATTTTCCACCTTTCTTCACCAGAAATACTTTGGACGTTAACAATGCAGTGGGGAAGTAGTGGCAAAAATAAAGTGACTTCTCAAGTTTTGGGTGTTTTTTAAAATATAGTTATTATTAGAATTGTTATGTCGTAGGAGCTAGTTCTGCACAGTTAATGTCCTGAAAATTATGTAGAAATAAACATATATTCAAAGGGTCTTAAAGATTAATGATTTGGGATAACAAATGTAGCATTTAGGAGTAATATCTATAGCATGAATCTTGTGTTATCCTTTACTAAACGGATCAGTGCCATTACGTGTTCTTTACATTGGTTACTGAAAGCAAAGCTGTAAAATCCTGTATTCTTGGAGGTCTGCTACTGCAGGGATTGATAATAGCATGTAGGTTACTGTGGGGAAAGTTTCCAGATGAAATGATCACCCCAGTTTTTTGACTTCCAGAGGGGGTATCGAGCATCAATATCTTCACGTTATGTTCCAGGATATCCCTGTCTCTGCTGCCAGATGGCCTGGTTCTGATCCAGGCTTTGCCAGGAGATTTGTTGTGTATGGGGTGGCCCATGCGCGCAGCCAGTGCTTTGCCTCTTGTGAACAGAGGGAACAGTTTGTGGAGGGGCACCTGATCTGAACGAAGTAGACTGCCCTGCTTTACCAAAACAAATTCCCCTCTCATTCCTCTAAATTGCTGTAAGTTTAATTTAAATATGGGAGTTCTGTGCTGCAGTTTTGATAGTAGGATGAGAATATCACTATTAATTGGATTTTAGTGCCCTTTCCCACAAAACTAATTCAGTAGGGTAATTAGCTACATTTTTGTTTCAACTTTCTGACTTGATTTCTTGTTTTCTTTCTCTCATTTTTCTATTTATGCTGGGAAACCTTTCTCTTGCTGTCTTACTCTGTCGTCTCCAAGGAAAAACCCACCCAAACGGTAAAGGTTTAAATGTGTAAATGTCTTGGTAATCCTGTCTTATGCTGTTTCATATGACCCAGCAGTGAAACAAGTATAATTATTTCAGTCAACTTGGAGTAATTATGAGCTGTATTGGGTTCAGAGAACTGGACCCATGTTCAGGCGTGCCTGTAGAGCTTACTGCTGCATGTCTGCATCCATCCGCAGAAGTCGCCTTTAAATGCTGTGGAAAGTCACATTTCTGCCCATGTCCCTGTAACTACCCCAGCCCAGGTGATCTCTGAAGCTTTTCGCTGACTGCTTTCTTCTTTCCTTGGCGCAGCCCCCCAAGGAAGCACATTGTGGACACCTATACGGAGTTCTACCATACGCCCACCCACAGCGATGCCAGCAAGAAGCGACTGATCGAGGACACTGAAGACTGGCATCCCCGGACAGGCACCACCCAGTCCCGCTCTTTCCGCATCCTTGCCCAAATCACTGGCACGGATCATAGTGAGTAATTCGATGTAAACAAGATTAAAGTAAAGGCCTTTGACAGTTAGGTGTTTTAAAAAGGGCAGGGTGGGGAATAGTAAAAGGATTTGGTCACATCTCTTGCATTTCCCCTCTTCAGCAATAAATACAATAGGCAGAATTTTGGCGAGCTCTGTAATAGAAAAAAGTTTGAGAAGGCTATAGTGGGAAAATATTTTTGTAAAATTTCTGCAATTATTATTTAGCTCAGCACATGCACATTACTGGATGCAATTCCTGATTGAGTTAAATATTAATATGTTCCAGATAAATCTTAAAACTTCCATTTCTACTTAGAAAGACGTTGGCAGATACGTATTTGTTGTTTCTTTCCCCTCCTGTGTCACTAAAATGGCAACATCGCTGTTCAAATTTAGTGCTCCAGAAAAATTAAGATGTTTTCAGGCATGCAGAAAATCTTTGACAGTCATACAAAGGTATATGATCTGCAATGATTTAATCAGAAGTATAAATCCATAGCTCCTCAGTTTATTCCCAGAGCATGTTTCCATCTCCTGCATATGCATTGGTGTTGTGATTACATGTACTGTGAACTGGAACAGATGATGTGCAGAAGATCATTCCCAGTCATATAATTTTATGGTAAAACTTCAATTTCATATTATGCTGTCAGTTATAATTCATTGGTTGAGATCTGTAATGTTGTGTAAAAGCCATCAGGAGATTTGAGCTCAGTCATGTTCAGTCTGAGGCAGTAAATGCCAAGGTGATTATTTAATTCTGCGTTTCATGGCTAGTGCTACAATAAAGAAGGCAGTGAGGAAATCAAACCCCCTCCCCAGAGGCAGATTTGATTAAATCAACTATGTATTCTCTGGCAGAATTGCTCTCAAAGCAAGATAACACCTCCTCAGATAAGGATTATTGTCCATGTATGATAAATATTCTGAACATGGACAGTTACCTGACTGTTTTGTGGTCCTGCTTTGTGCCAGTCTATTAATTGGGTCGTTGGGTTCTCTTTATTAATCCTTGTAAGGGCAGAATGTGAGTCCTGAACATCAAATAACACATCATCAAGTGCTGATGAATTAATCACATTGACAAATACTGTAAGAAAGTGACTGCAACTAGATTTGTCAAACTTAAAATCAAATCATTATCCTGTGTGTGGTCCTGTAGCTCCTAGATGGGTCGCAGCCTGGCTGCAAACAGGCACTGGGATTATCACCTGATGTAAACCCACTGATGTTTGTCCAAAAGAAATGCCTCCCAACTTCCATTCATCTTCCCCTTCTCAACTCGCCTTTCTCACTGCCAGCATGGAGAGTGGGCCAAGGCAAAGGGCAGAGACGAGTAGAGAGACACCTTTCAGCAGCCCTGCTGGCAGAGGGGCTCTTGAAGTCCATAGGCATGTCTCGTATCCATCGGGGAATATTTAGAATCAAGAAGTCCTAATGAGCCTTGTTGTAATTTCATGCTGTGGTGAATGCATTGGCCCAGGGGAGAATCTCAGTGTACGGTGCCTTTAGCGCCTTACAAATTAAAAATATTCCGTTTTCTTGCAGTGAAAGAACCAGAACATGAAGGTGGAAAGAAGACTAAGTGAGTTGATGTTTTACATTTTTATTATTTTTAATACTTTGCATGTCTTAATTCTTAACTGATAGTGTTTGGTGCATTTGTGTGACATTTGGGTGTTTTTAAAATGTTGCTGCTTTTTTTGCCTTCTACTTCAGCATGTAAAAATCAAGACCTTTTTTCCCTAGACCGACCTTTTAAATTCTGTTGGTGCAGTCCAGTGTATTAATGTTTGTGCAGGAGTTTTGAGATTTTCCATGAACTTGGACTGATTTGGTTTTCTGTACAAGGTCAGCTCGTTGACGGGTTTTTCTAAATCTAACCAGGCATTTTTCATTTGCGAGCATGAGTCAAATTGCAAGGCATCGCTGGAAAGTGCTGCCAGTGAGGGTCAGCTGTCTGCTTGCATTGGGATAAACGTTGTTCAAAAGGGAGACCAACCAGTGGTTAACTGGAATGGTTCTTGCCATCAGTGGGAGTTTTTCCTACTGACTTTGCCTAGCATTGAATCTCAGCTTTTGCAGAGAGGAAGGGAATGTGTAGATAGGAATAGTGCATGGAAATTGCATGATCACTTGTGAAACTGCTTGAGACAAACTTTCTTTCTTATTTTTCTTCTATCGCTTCTTTCCACAGGGAAAAGGTTCCCATCCACGTCTTTAGCCCCAAATATACAAAATTACGTGACTGGCACCATGAAGTCTCAGCACGTGTTCTTAATGTCCAGTGATTTTACCCAAGTTGCCAAAGCAAAATACAAACCCTTCCTTCCTTCCTTCCTTTTCCATCTGCTTTGCAAAAAAAACCAAACAAACTTATTTCGCTGGCCTTACTGCGAGAGAAATTCTAGCCTTTTCTATACTTTTCTAACACTTTCCTACTGATATGTAAAAAACGAGATGAAAATGTTTTTGTGCTGATCACTAGTTGACAAAAAAAAACAGTATTTAAATCGGAACAACTTGGGTGACTGAATCTCCCAATGTGGGGGAAGAGATGGCTGTTGCAGTTCTTCTTTTGCCGTGAAGGAGTCATATGCATTGCTGAGTTTGAGTTACTGTAGGTTGTTAGGAAGCAGAAAATTATGAATAAAAGAGTAAGAGATCGTATTACTTTGATTTTTGGGGCTGGGGGAAGAAGACGAAGAGGGACTTTATGCACTTATTTCAAACTATTGTACTTACCAGGACAAGTATCTTAGATTTCATTAGATTTTCAGCAGGTCAGTTTTAGAGTGGTTGTAAATGTTTTAAGAAGTGCAGCAAGAAGACAGACTGCTTTTCAGCAAATAAAAAATAAATTTTAGAAAAATTTCTGATGTTGTGAATCGAAGTGCAAGCTCAGTATAAAGATTCTGCTGCTTAAACTAATAATATGTTCATATTGTGGAAGACTTGGAAAAAAATTGAGCAGAATGTTGCTGTGTACCTGTAAGAGCTTCAACACATCCTCTAACAAGAACAAGATAAGATGGTAGTATTTATTTATTTCAGAGTGAAGCGTATAGGCTTTGTTGTGTTTATAAAAGCTTCATGGCCCTATGGTTCTCCTGTAAAATAATGTATTATAGTAGCTACACATTCATTAATTTATGCTTTCTGAAGCTTGAAGAGTATTTTAATAAAAGTTGCTTTTATCTTAGCTCTGTCTGTTTTTCTTTGAGTCTCTCCGACTCCTTGAATAGTCTTCTCGTGCATGGAGCTGTATTTTCATTTCACAGATTATAGTAAGAGAAGCAATTAAATCCCTGGAGCATAGTAGAAACAATCTGAATTGTACAGAACTGTCACAGTAGGAGGGTTCCTGATCGTGTTAAATGTGGTGTGTTTGTGTTCTCAAAATCGACATGAGAGTGGCAGAAATCAGTAAAATGATTAAACTTTTAGGGGGCTACAGAGTAAAAATTCTACCAAGTAAAACTTGCTCTCAGCTTTTGTAACATTTATTGAGCCACAGAAGTTTCAAACCTCAAAGGTAAATTGTGAGCACATATAAAAGACCCATCTTTCATAATCGCTTAATGAGAACCATTGCAATTGGCTGCAGTTCGTGCAGCTGAGCTGCACATGGTTCTGATGGAGTTGGTCCTGTGAACGGATCGATGTCCACTCAAACAGTTCTGCAGACTTGGGGGGGTGTGGGCGGTTTTTTTATTGCTCAACTTGGAAAACTGAATGGAATGGAGACCTTCGGAAGAATTTTGAGTTTGTGTTTCCTTTTGAGGTGGTTTATTTGGCTACACAGTCCAGTAGTAGCTTACAGTATTTGTCATTTTATCTTTAGGAAAAGCCAAACAGAAAATGGAGACGTCAGGTAACAGCCAAGTTATCCCACACTAACAGTCACTGACGTGGGTGCCTAACAATTCACTGCATAAAATATAATTAAATTTCACTGGTAATGATGGACCAAGGCATATCACATCTTACACACCTTTTGGGTTAACTCCTTAGGGACAGGAGGGGAAAATATTCACTTTAATAATTTCACTTGTTTTGATGAGAAGTGCCAATCAGTTTGATCCTCCCCCTCATCATGTAACTTGGTAGTGAGTACTGTGTTACTAAACCCAAGTATGTTACTGAGTACACATACACCACAGTATAATAATTTGATAAAACACTGCATATTGAAGTAGGAATGTGGAATAGTTTATTAGAATTGTTTTGCTGGGTTTAAATAGTTTTTATGAATAGAAAGGAAGGTAGGAGTTTCAGAGGACACCAGTGCAATGAAAACTATGAACACTTAGCCTCTCTGTAAAGTTTTCTTCATAAGGGCAGAATGGTATGACCTTCAAGTATTTTTGTTTTGGAGGTGTCCATAAGTAATGAGAATATCTTCACACTTGGTGTTTAATTTACCGTTATGTTTATCGATCTTACCAGCACTTTTCTTTGAAGGGTGAGTTGGTTTAGTGAGGGCTGTGCTGCCATCCAGCAAGATCTGG